CTTAATTTTAAATAGGCTATTTCTTAGTTATTTGTGTCCTTTTATTTTTGATTAATTAAAAGTAATAATAATAATAAAAAAATAAAAAGTCAGTTTGTAATTCAGCCCCTAGGTGGCAGTGTTTCTGGATTGACTTCCCCATCTTTTTGGCTGCTCTAGCCTTCCTTCTCTATGGCCCTCTCTATGGTTTGTCTAGGTAGGGTGCCTGGGTGCTGGCTCCCAGATCATCTCTTCCCGCTCTGATCCCCTGTTTCCAGGAAGGCAATTTCCCCGTGCAGTCTCCCAGGATATGCCAAACTGGGCATTCTTTTCTTAGTACTCAGAAGCAAGGGGGTGAAGGAGACCAGGCGCAGGATGAGTCTGCACCAAGGTGTCCAGATGTTCTGCTTTTGGCGGGACAGTCCCGATTCATAATTTGTTTCATGTCACTTGGCATTTTAAAAAAGTCCCGATTTTTGGGAAGATCACACCAAACCCAGCACTGGGTCTTGCAGCGCTCGATTCTCTCTGTAGCCACTGCCTCGGAGCCGCTCTGGCCGTGAAGCTGCTGTAGCCACCACTGCCGCCGCAGCAGGAAGCCAGATCCCTCATGTTATCCCCGGCAAACTCTGATCTTTTCATGGGTGATTGAAGAACTCCCTTAAATCCAAGTGTTTGTGCTGATTGGGGCATCACAGCTGTTCAGTGGTCTCCACTGTTGTGGGCTTTTCAGGCCTCAGATAAGATCCTCTTTTCTTTGTAAGATGGAGTAGTTTTCCCTCTGAGCGCCTAGCTCCAGGAGAGGTCTCCGCCATAGTGCGGGCTGCTTTGTCAGGAAATCCTGTCCAGCAGACCCCTACCTTCTCTTAGAGTTCTGCTACCCCTCATCTTGCCAACTAACACTCTCTGAGCAACTCTCAGGCGCTCCTTCTATCTGCTCTGGAACTAGACTCAGAACAGGACCATCTGTTTGGCCACCATTTTGTCTAGCCTGTTTGTATGCTATTTCATGTTGCATTATCCCAAAGCACCCTTAGGCTCTCCTCCTGCTTTTTAATTTTTTTCTCCAGTTGCTCTTCAGATTGGGCTTGTTTCTGTACTTTATCTTCTAACTCATATTTTGGTCCTCTGCTTCTTTTAGTCTACTGTTGAAGCCTTCCATGGTCTTTTTTATTTTAGTTATATCATTTTTCATTTCTTTCTTATTTTTACATAGGTTGTTGATTTTCTCGTCTATCCAGTGTATGAACTGTATGACCATTACTCTGAATTCTTTTTCTGTCATGTTGCATGCTTTTGTTTCACTTATTTCCTTTCTTGGAAATTCCTCCTTTTCTTTCCTCTGGTGATTGTTTCATTGTCTCCCCATTCTGACTATCTCCAGAAGGTTTAAACATCGTCAAGTTGTGGCAGCCTGGGCCATGTGCAGTGGGAGTATTGAACTCCTCAAGTTCACTGAAGAGCTCTGACATCAAGACGTACAGCTTCTGTGGGTTGGTGGGAGCCACACTTACCCTGGGTCAGTCACAGGTGCTTATTGTGCCCTCGTGTGCACACTTAGAATCAGGGACCCTGACTATGCCATGTTGAAACAGAGAACCCGCTGGTCTCCTTCACCCCCTTGCTTCTGAGTACTAAGAAAGGAAGGCCCAGTTTGGCATATCCTGGGAGACTGCACGGGGAAATTGCCTTCCTAGAAACAGGGGATCAGAGCGGGAAGAGATGATCTGGGAGCCAGCACCCAGGCAGCCTACCTAGACAAACCATAGAGAGGGCCATAGAGAAGGAAGGCTAGAGCAGCCTAAAAGATGGGGAAGTCAATCCAGAAACACTGCCACCTAGGGGCTGAATTACAAACTGACTTTTTATTTTTTTATCAAAAGTCCCCTAGTGCATGTCAGGAGTTAGAGGCTCCCTGTGTCTGTTCCAAGAATAGAGTATCAGAGTCTCTGTTGCTTGGTTATACCTCACACCAAGAATCAGGGTCCCTGTGTGCTCATGCACCGAGAATTAGAATCACTGGCTTTTAATGTGAATGTACTGAGAATTAGAGATCCCAGACACACGAAATGATAAACAGAGTCTAGTCGCTCGTGCTCATCGCTGCCTCTTGTGTGGAGATTCAGAGTCCCAGATCTGCTTGGGAGACCAGGTTGCACAGTCGCACTGTGTTGGCAAGAGGTCCCCTCCTGCCCTGCAGAAAATAGCCTTCTGTGTGCACTTGACCTGAATCAAAATCAGGTGTCACTGCTCTTCAGTCTGGGCGTGGGGTCTGGTCATATGGGTGTGCACTGTGGGAAATAAACCCCCTGTGTTCATGCACCCAGGCTCAAATTGAGTGCTGCCACCCTGTGTGGGCATAGGGTCTGGTCGTGGGAAACAAACTCCCCAAGTTCACTCATTTAGGTTCAAATTCAGCACAGTCTCTCTTCTTGGGTGCAGGGTCTGGTCATGGGAAACAATCTTCCCAAGTTTGTACCCCCAGGCTCAAATTCTGCACTGTCTCCCGGCATGGGCACAGGATCTGTTCACACAAAACAATCTCCTCAAGGTTGCACACCTATGCTCAAATTCAGTACAGTCTCCTTGCCTGGGCACAGAACCTGGGCGAGGGAAACAAATTCCCCGGGTTTGCATGTCCTGGTTCCAATTCAGTGCTTACTCTCTGCTAGGGTGCAGGGTCTGGTCATGGGAAACAAACTCCCTAGGTTTGTACCCCAGGCTCAAACTCAGCACTGTCTCCCTGCATGGGCTCAGGATTTGTTCTCAGAAAACAGTCTACCCAAGGTTGCGCATCTATGCTCAAATTCAGTACAACCTCCCTACCTGGGCATGGAGCCTAGTCGCAGGAATCAAATTCCCCAAGTTCGCATGTCCAGGCTCAGATTCAGTGCTGTCTCCCTGCCCTGCATGGACATGGGATCTGGTTGCAGAAAACAATCTCACCACGGATGCACATCTCAGGTCAAATTCAGCACAGTCTCTCTGCCTGAGTGCAGACCTGGTAGTTGTAAACAAACTTCCTGTGCCCGACACCAAGGCTCAAAGTCAGGTAGAGGTGCCACTGCTATGTGTCTGCACACAGAAAGCACTATTGTGCAGCTGGGATCTGGGAGTTCCTATGCCACTGCTATGGGGGGCAGCAAGATAGTGGGATTGGCTTTGTGACTCACAGAAATCTGCGGCCAGTGTACCTGGAGTCTTGGTGTCCCTGGATCTGCAGCTGTGGTCGCAGATCTATTACCAGTGTGGCTATAGAATCCTGGTTTGCTATCAAAACCGGACTGGCAAGGCTAGTATCCTAGTCTCAAGCTGTTCTGTTCTTCAAGATGACGTGGTCTCTGTGCCACTGGTGTCCTCCCTGGAGTGTTTGTGGTAACAGTGGGGTTTTGCCATCTAAGACTGCCCAGATTGGAAGCCCCTTGAAATACCTTCAGGATCTAACTGTCCCTATTTCACCCCACACACACACCTCCACACACATTCCTCTATCGCTCTCTCACTCTCTCCCACACTCTCCCTCCCTATCTTCCTGCTGGTCACCATCTTTTTACCCTGTCATTATTTCTTCAAATAGGTTTTCAATCTCTTGCTCTTTCTAATCTTCTGGAATCCCCATAATTCAGATGTTGGCATATTTGAAGTTGTCCCAAAGGCTCCTTACATTATCTTCATATTTTTGGATTCTTTTTTCTTTTTGCTCTTCTAATTGGGTGTTTTCTGCTTCCTACTCTTTCAAATCTTTGACTTTATTATTGGGATCCTCTCCTCTATTGTTGAAACTCTGTTTATTATTCTGTATTTCAGTCAGTGTATACTTAATTTCTGACTGGTCTTTTTCCATCTTTTTTTTTTTCATTCTGAGGTCCTTGAAGGTCTCACTAAGTTCCTCAGAGGTTTCTAGAAGATTCTTAAGTAACCTTATAACTGTGGTTTTGAAAACTATATCCAGTAGTTTGCTTTCTTCAATTTCTTTTATTTTTTACAAGTTTCTTTGTCTCTGCATTTTGGCTACATCCGTGTATTTGTATACATAGGGTCACCTATGTATACAATTGAAGAGATCCTGTACAGGATATACCCTTATGGGCAGGACTTTCTTCAGTGGGGATTTGGTGCTCACTGATTCTGCTCCTTGAGTGTGTCACTTATGGATGTTAAGAGTTGTAATCTGCATTGGTCTCACATTGACCAGTGGTCCACTTGTTCTTAGGTCTCCAAAGAGGTGCAAAGTCAGTCATTGCCTGGAGCCACCCAGCAGGAGCTACAGAGAGATCTGAAGAATCCTCCTCTTTTTATGGGGTTTGGAAGTGCCCAGATGAGGCCCAGCTATGAAGCAAGGCAGACTTCTGCAGTCCTAGCCTTTGCCTTCTTTTGATAGCTTTGGGGGCTTTGTGACCCAACTGCAGTTTGACAGGTTTTAGGCTGAGAAAAGACTGGCCATTCATATGCAAAACTCTCTGCACATGGCTTTGGTGGGGTTGTAAATTGGATGGGGCTGGGTCTTAGGGAATCTCCAGGGTTGGGCAAACAGCAATGGCTGCCAGTCAGCCCTGCACTGGGGAGGTCCCAGCTTAGGAACAATGACTGCTGTGAGCACCTCTATCAGGAAGAAAGCCCAGAGCCAGTCAGTCCAGTTTCTTCTTGTAAGTGTCTGGGTCCCCCAAAGTTTCGCCCAGCACTGGAGCTCAGAGCAAGTGGGAGCTTGTATTTCCCTCCTGATTAAAAAAGTGGCATACCAAGATGCCAGCCTGTTCTGCCTCCACATCTTCACGCCTCCTACCAGTCTCAATGTGCTTTCTCCTTTACCTCTCTAGTTGCAGTTCTTCTACTCAGCCAGCTTTCCTGCAGTTCTGGACGATAGTTGTTCTGTCTTTTATTTGTAATTTTAATGTGGTTGTGGGAGGCAGCAATGCAGGTGTTTACCTATGCCACCATGTTGGTGCTCCTTCTTTGCCAAATTAATTAAATGGATTAATAATATCAGCCTAACTTGTTTCTCTTATTCTCATCATTGGAAGGTATACCTGGAATTTCAGGGCCAAAAGGTTACCAGGGTTTACCTGGAGACCCAGGGCAACCTGGACTGACGGGAAAACCCGGATTACCAGGATCGCCAGGTATGTATAATAGACCACCTGTAGATATTGGATAGCTGATCCTGAACCCTAAAAAAATTAATTATGTATTTTTCATGTGTGATGATATTTTGGATATGGTCATGGAAATATCCTTGAATAGCAACTGAAACATGGTGTTCTCCTTTAGCAAAAATATTGCCATTTGGCCCAAGTATCAAAAGTCAAAACATGTAGGATGTTTTGCTTTGGTATTGTTTTCTTTTTGTGGTAATAGCGGAGTTACACAGAATCAGAAGTATATCCAAGTAAGGTGCTGGGTTTTATTTACATAAATTGTAGCATAAGTAAATAAGACAGTTATCTAGTAGGAGCCTTCAGACAGGGTCAGTAATTATGCCATGTTAAACATATGATTTTAAAAATAGATGCTTATTTTTTTTAAAGTTTCCGGGTTGAAAATTTTACAACATACCTTGGCAGTCTGTTACAGTATTAATCACCCTCTTACAATGATCTCATTGATATAGCAGTCAACATAGATTTTTTTCTTATCTCTAATAAAATTATTTCTTGCTGTGTTTGAAGCCATTTTCTTTTACTTGGGCCCCTAATGAATAAAGAGGACCTGGTCCCATCTTCATAAGAACCCGTGAGGTCCATTATTCTGCATGACATTGCCTTTATGTAGTTGGAAAAGGACACTATCTTTCTTTATATCATTCAATTTTGTTTTCTAGTCCCCAAGTTAAAGCAATTGTAAAAGAAAAAAAAATCAATGAAAAATTGATTAAGGCAACATTGGGGACCTTAGAGCTCAAGCACCTAAGCTCTAAGAAGAATGTGTAAGCAGAGAAGCCATGACTATTGGAGGTGACAATCCAGAACCTCTCCATCAACATTTATTTACCCCTGGCCTAATGTACTGGGTTATATCATGACAGATTACCACTTTCCCCTTTTTACTCTCACATAATCAGAATCTACATGAGAAAGTTACTTCTGAATATTTTAAAAACAGATTCATTATGTTTTATTCATCTGTGATTAATACAATAAAGCATATATACATACCGGTACAACAAATGGGACTTCAGGGTTTTGTAATAGTTTTTGGCAAATAACAAGGTGTCCTTGTAAAAGTTTTGCATTTTAAAAATAAATTTGTATTAGGAGACCTCTATTATTGAGATTATATTGTAGTATGATCTGAAGGAGATTTCTTGCCCATTTTATGCTAGATTAAGTCTTTGGAACTTGATCATGTATTAAGATTGGATCCATCCAATTCCATACTTGCATTTTAATTATGATCCATTCCAGGAAACCAAGAAGCCTTAATATTGATGACTTGTCTTAATTTTACCAATTTGACATTTCTAGGTCCTAAGGGTAGCCCTGGTCTCCCTGGGGAGCCAGGACTTACAGGACCACTTGGACCTAAAGGAAATATGGGTGATATGGGATTTCCAGGTGAGTATTAAAATCTCCCAAGTATTTAGATCTACTAATGGAAGATAGTTGACTGCTTTTGTTATCACAAAAGAGATTGGTGTGAATAGAATCAAACTGAGACAATCTCTAAGTTAATTAGTTGGGAAAGCTGTCTCATTATATAAATATTTGAACTAGGAATTAAGGGACAGAGCCTTAGAAACCTTAAAAGTAAAATTTTACAAACTTGTATATGTTTTCAGCTGTACCTTCTTTCACTTAAACTTCCTGTTGAATAGGCTTTTATAAGATCTTGTTTGTAAAGCTCATTGTTATAAAGCAGAATTTGTAGAATTATTTAAAAAAAATTGGTTATATGCATGACATATGTACCACAAATAAAAGGTATTTTGTAAAATATTGCATTTTACATGTTTTCAATAGGCCCTCAGGGTATCAAAGGTTCCCCTGGTATTCCCGGAGTTCCTGGACAACCTGGCTCTCCAGGATTACCTGGACAGAAAGGAGAGAAAGGTGATCCTGGCGTTTCAGGCATTGGTATTCCAGGTCTTCCTGGCACAAAGGTAATCCTACTATAGACATATGCCTGAGGAGATGTGATTTTTCTATAATACTGTGCTCATTCCTATTTTTTCATTAAATAAACGATAGCCTGGGATAGGCAAGAATTCATTCCTTCTCTTATTTCTTATTTTAATAAGGATATAGGTTTTAGGGTTTTCAACCTGTGAAGCTGCAACCAGCATGGCTAGGGTTCAGGGTCTAGAGAAGGGCTCCACACTCTTGTGGGGTCAAAACATAGGTTCAAAATAAGACCACCGGAGGCTGATGATTGATTAAAAAACCAGGCAAGGATTTATTGAAATAACTGGCTAGGACAGCCACAAGAGCACCACACGCAGGTGGACTCCGCATGACTGCACCATTTCAGGGGTAGGCAGTCCCTTTTAAAGGTTCAAACCATAGGAATTTTCCTTTGTTCTATTAATAAATTCTAAATCCTAAAGACTACATTCTAAAGACTGGGGTCAGCCAGCAGGGTCGCAGCTAGTCACATCCTGCTGGACATTAGAATGTGGCCCTATCTTGTAATAGCCAATAACACAGAAGCAGAGCTCAGAGGTTATCTATAGTTTCTATCTCGGGGGGTTATCTACAGTTTCTATCTCTGAAGGTTATTGAGTTAGTGGTAATCAATCTCCTGTGGTCCTGGTCCCAGGCAAGAGAAAATTGCCTTAGTCTCCAGGTCTCCACCTGGAAGCTGAGTCTGTGTTTAATCAGGTGCAGGAGCCAGACTTAGCAGGGTTAAAATTCAAACAGCAGTTTTTACCTGAGATGTATATTCTTAGTGTCTTATTTCACACACAAATGAATACACTGGACAATAAATATGAATTTATAAATCAGGGCTGGGTGAGGCAGAAAACCTTTCTCTAGGGGAAAGGCTTCACTGGGGCTCAGGCCCTATTAGCTCTGATTCAATTTTAGAATAAACATCTTGCCCTTGGGCAGGCAAGCAATCTGGTAGCAGACAGACTATCTTAAAGGTCAGTAAATATTAATAAATATTTACTCTGATACTATTAGGTCAGGAAATTGCTTAAGTCACCAATTGTCTCAACAGAACAATTGGTGCATAGTTTTTAGCCCTTGCTAAAGCTCAGGTTCATTCATCTTTCTGAGTTCCCTGATGCGCTTTCATGATAGTGTAGAGTAGGATCCAGCAGCAGCCAGTCCATGAAAGGGGGGAAACTTCTAATTAATCTTAATTTTTTTTCATGTTTTAGTAATGCTAAGGCATATTTCTGCCTGATTTTGGTTTTATTTACCCTTTTTAATGATATGGTTGTTGGTCTTTATTCAATTATTATTATTAACAATGTGATAAAACTTATAAAGAACGTAACTTCAGCTTTTTTTGTAACTTAGGCAATTAATGAATGTAGAATAGTATTCTTAACTGCATATCTGAGGTACTTCTTCAAAAACAATTTTCCATATTCCTCTATGACCCTAGTCCATGAGAAAACTTGTTGTATAAGCAATCAGATTTAGAAGTTGTTTTAGAATCATGGACTCAACAAATATTTGATAACTTCTTAATTCTATGTAAAAAGATTATAACTCTTACTGATTTGTAGAAGTACCTTATAACTAGCAAAGCTGCATCTATTCTCTATAATATATATTGCAAATATATGCTCCCAGTCAATTGTTTGTCTTATAGCATTGTTTTAACCATTCAGTCAGACCACAAAGCTAGAGAGTTTTTGAAGAGAAATTGTGCCATTCAACTTTCACAAACATAGTGAAAATTTCCACTGAGATAAGAATTTATTGAATGATATTTTTAAAATAATTTCTTTTTAATAGTGTACAAAGACTATAATTTACTATATATGTGTATGTGTGTATTATAGATAGCTTATCATTTTTAAGACTCAATTTTACTCAATTTAAAAATCTCGATATTGTACATAAGACAATGCTGCTTCTTCCAAATGTATGTATCTTTTATTTATAGACATAAACCACAGGTGTCAAACACAAGGCCCGCGGGCCAAATCCGTCCCGCCAGGCCTTGCAATGTGGCCCGCACCGCGCTGTCATCACTGCACTCCGCTGCGTTTCCATCACAATGACAGTTTATGACTGTTCAGTAAACCATTTGGCCCACGATTTAGGCTGGATTTTAGATTTTGGCCCCTTCTCTGATTGAGTTCGACACCCCTAACATAAACTCTAGATTTAGCTATTGTAACAGTCAATTTTAGCTAGCTTTCCTTATTAGCCCATACATATATTCCACATTGTCTTTCACTATTATCTAGTACTAGAGGCCCTGTGCATGAAATTCATGCATGGAGGGAAGCAGTGTACCTCAGCCCAGCCTACACCCTCTTCAATCTGGGACCCCTTGAGGGATAGCTGACTGCCCGTTTAGGCCCGATCCAGTTGGACATTCCTCTCACAATCCAGGACTGCTGGCTCCCAACTGCTCACCTGTCTGCCTTCCTGATTGCTCCTAACCACTTCTGCCTGCCAGCCTGATCACCCCCTAACCATTCCCCTGCCAACCTGATTGATGCCTAACTGCTTCCCTGCCAGCCTGTTTGACCTTAATGCCCTCCGCTGCAGGCATGGTCACCCCTAATTGCCCTCCCCAACAGACATGGTCCCCTCTGCCCTTTCCTGCAGGCCTGGTCACCCCCAACTTCCTTTCTCTGCTGGCTTGGTCATCCCTAAATGCCTTCCCCTGCAGGCTTGATTGCCCCCAACTGCCCTCCCTTGCCGGCCTGGTCCCTCCCAACTGTCCTCCCCTGCTGGCCTGATTGGCCACAACTGCCCTCCCTTGCAGGCTTGGTCCCTCCCAACTGTTATCCCATGCTGGCCATCTTGTGGTGGCCATCTTGTGTTCACATGGGGGCAGTCATCTTTGACCACATGGGGGCAGCCATCTTGTGTGTTGGAGTTTTGGTCAATCTGCATATTACTCTTTTATTAGGTAGGATAGAGGCCTGGTGCATGGGGGAGAGAGATGGCTGACTTGTCCTGAAAGGTGTCCTGGATCAGGGTAGGGGTTCCCTTGGGGTGTGGGACAACTTGGGCGAGAGGTCTGTGATGGTTTGCAGGCCGGCCATGCCACCTGGCGACCCAAGCAGAGGCCCTGGTATCTAGGATTTATCTATCTTCTACAGTTGGAACTTTGTAGCCTGGAGTGGAGCCAAGCCATCTACTTGCTCTGCGGCAGCTATCATTTCTGTTGGGATTTATGTATCTCCCATAATTGAAACTTTGTAGCCTTAAGCAGAGGCCTGTGCTGGCTAGGGTATGGGAAAAGCTTCCTTTCTCCATCAGCAGGGGCAACTCTAGCCTCCTGCTCTTTCTAGCTTCATGGCTGCCACCATTTCTGTTTAGATTTATGTATCTTCTATCATTAAAACTTTGTGGCCTTGAGTGGAGGCCTAAGAAAGGTAGTAGGGCAAGGGCAGGTGGAAAGCTTGGTTTCCTCCATTGCTGTGGAAACCTAAGCCTCCCTCGTACTCTGTGTGGCTGTAGCCATCTTGGTTGGGTATATTTGCTCCTGATTGGCTAGTGGGTGTGGCTTGGGGGCATGGCTTGTGGGTGCAGTGGAGTGATGGTTAATTTGCATATTAGATATGACTAGAGGCCCGATGCATGAAAATTAATGCACTGGAGGGGGTCCCTGAACCCAGCCTGCCCCCTTTCATAGTTCAGGAGCCCTCAGGGGTGGTAGGCACCCCATCAATCAGGGGAAAGCAGTGCCCCATAACACCTCTGCTGCTGCCACTGCTGGCAGCATAAGCCTCAGCAGGCCCTGGTTGTCTGTGCCTCGGGCCAGCCCTGGGTGTCTGGGCAGCCATCATCCAAGGCTTGCCTGTGCCTCAGGCTGGCCCTGGGTGGCTGGGGGACTGTAGGAACTGAGAGACTCTGGACTCAGGTGCTTGGAGTGGCCTGGCCCCCCTGGGGGTGGGCCCGACCTTTCAGCACACCTGCCACTCTGGCAAGGACGAGGGGACTGGGTGCTGCCATCTTGTGGCTGTGGGCACCACCATCTTTGTGGGTGGGGTAGTCAATTAGCATATTCCATCCTTATTGGCTGTGGGCACCGCCATCTTTGCAACAGCATGAGGGCCAAATTAGCATATTCCCTCTTTATTACATAGGGTTTTTGTGTGAGTCAACGATAAATAATTTAATATTACAAGTACAGAAATTGTTTCCACTCTTTCATAATTACAAACATATCATACATGTAATATGATTCTTATCCATATCTTGCATAGATATCATATTATTTGGTAAATATTGTCACAGAATAAATTCTGAGTGGGATTGCTAGAGCCTAGCATATAAATGCATTTTTAATATTGATAGTTACTGACAAATTTTCCTATCATATAGCTTTATAGCTTGATCAGTATAATAAATTTTCTGTTTTCTCCTTATGTTATAAATATTTTTAAATAAATCTTTATTGTTCATATTATTACAAATGTTCCTCATTTACCCCCCATCCATGGCTCCCCTCCACCAGGTTCCCACCCCACCCTCTGCCCTTTCCCCACTCCCCATTGTCCTCATCCATAGGTGCACAGTTTATGTTCAGTCTCTTCCCACATCCCCCTCTCCCCTTTTCCCCAAGAATCGTCAGTTCACTCCCCTTCCATACCTCTGATTCTATTATATTCACCAGTTAATTTTGTTCATCAGGTTTTTTTTTAATTCCCTTGGTTTTTAGATTCACTTGGTGATAGTTACATATTTGTTGTTCATAGTTTTTATCTTTATTTACTTTCTCTTCTGAAAGAACCCCCTTCAGCAATTCATATAATTCTGGTTTGGCGGTGATGAACTCCTTTAGCTTTTTATTATTATTATTATTATTATTATTATTATTATTATTATTAGTGAAGCTCTTTATCTGGCCTTTGATTCTGAGTGATAGCTTTGCTGGGTAGATTATTTTTGGCTGTAGGTAATTGCTACTCATCACCTGGAATATTTCTTGCCATTCCCGTCTGGCCTGCATGATTTCTGT